CCAGGAAAGGCTGCAAAAACTCAAACTCATCCAGGGTAGAAAAAATTCTATCAGATATCCGAAAAGTCTCTTCTATCTTGACTACCCTACCTTTTAACACAACTCCTAGTGTCAGCTGTTCAGTCAAATTGGGCATTGCCAATCATCATAAGCAACATCTGAAAGGTAGAGATCAGGTTGGACATAATCAGGGATCTCGAATCTGTGTTCAAAGGTACTCATGAGTAGGGATTTTATCATCAAAGTGGAGTCTTTTTCTCTTGCTCTACCAATCTCAGCGATAGCTTCCAATAGAGGCATCCAATCTCTCCTGCCTTCAAATACTTTAGCAATTGAGAACTCAGGAAGCCTCTCAAATTGTCTTACTCCTTTCCCCAGGTTACTTTTCTCTTTAACTTTTCAAGTCACTCTTTGGTTCTTATGAGACTAATGTAAGCACTTGTCTGACACTTCAAGTAGTCATCTTCCTTTTCTAGGCCGGCTGGTACATAAATTTGTACGTCCAGGCTGCCAGTACTCAGGAATTTGACCACTGGAATGTGAAATATTGTGGACCCTCTCTCACAAGTCTCATATGTCAGGATCATAAAAGGATTATCACACTTTATCACCTCATAAAGTTTACCCTTCACAGTAATTATCCTGGCTACTGAGAGTATCCTTCTTGGGTTCTCTTCACTTTTCATGCAAACTTCGTCATAGCATACCAATTATCTCTTGAGAACGTGAGTCTCTCAACAGGTGGAGATGGTATCCCATCAAAACGTCTGACATAGGTACTAAACGAGAAGTTTATTCCTTCCCGCTCTAATCTTATTTTCTCATCATGATCAAGATCCGAAGCTCGTTGCCAACACGCACCTTTTCGGCTTTCATCAAATCTTTGCTTCGGCACATAAATCTCAATATCATATTCATCAAGATCAATAAAATAGCATGTAAGAACGTACAGACTGTCTTGTTCTTGTCCTGATCCCTTTATGGCTTCATACCTGACGATTTCATAAGGAATTACAGCCTTACATGCTATAGAATTAAGAGAATTCAACAACTTGTATGACTCACCCTTACTCAGCCCTTCATGGCCTCTTATCAGTCCAAGCTTAGATTTCTCCTTCAAAGGTACATAACGTCGACTCATCAGACTCTTTGACCTCTTTTCACTTTCTGGGCAAACTCAATCACTGCAAACCAATCATGTTTTGATAAATTTATATCAGGCAAGGGAGGAGCTGGAAATCCCTTGAAGGCAGTAAATCGTGTAGATCCAGTGAAGCACTTGTTCTCTCTCTCAAGCCTCTCTTTCTCTCTCAGTACTACCTCTTCTGCAAATCCCCAACATCTCCCATACATTGCATCAACACTTCTTTCTTTTGGGACATAAATTCTTACGTCATACACATCCACGTCTGTGAAATAGAATGCCAGTACATACAATCGTTCCTGCTCCGATCCGCTCTCGACCATCTCATACCTGACAACTTCATACGAAAATGCCTCTCTCTTGCTCAGAGTATTCAGCGACCTTAGGAGACATTCAACCTTCTCTTGACTTCGACCCGAACCTCTGTCAAAATTTGACCTTCTTTGTCTGATTACTTCTGCTGAAATCTCTTCAACTCTCATGATCACCGCTTTTTTTTTTTCTTGTCAATACCATGTTGATTATCAGCAGTTAGTTAGTCTCATCACAATAGCTGTCAGGTATAGGAGGGATTGGAACAGTCTTGTATGTTACTTGCATTATACCCCATTTCACTTTCTTCTTTTGCTTGATCAAATCTGTCTTTTCATCATAAATAAATTGGATCACAATCTCCCATAACCAGTTAAAATCCTCACCATCGTTGTTGCCTCCTTCCTTGACATAGGGGCGAATATCATAGATATTTCCTTCCAAGAAGTGAATTAGCACTACGCAGATGGTTGAGCCACAAGAGTGATAGCTCCAACAAGCCTCATACCTGTAAGGAAATATCCCTCTTGTGGTAAATTTAGACAATTCTCTCAGAGCACCGTCGACCAGCATCTGTCCCGATCCGTCCTACTCTGTTTCTTTCAATTTTCTTTCAGTGTATTAGACGAAAATTGGGCATGCCTAGTGTCAAGCTCGATTCTCTCCAGTCAATAATGTCAATCTCCTTTTCCCGATCCACTGTGCTACCTCACACAAGGAAGAAATAAATCACAGTTAGCAGTCGTGATTATCAAGAAAATTGAGACTTAAATGAGAATAATAAAGTTAACATGAAGCTCACAAAAATGTCAACAGTTCTTAAGTCCTAATCAAAGCTCAAAGATGATGATGATGACCCAGGTTCGTTCCGGACACGAAAATATTTTTATGTCCAACCCATCGACCGTTATGGTGGATGACTATCCGATTAAATACAACACAATGGAATAACGTTGTCGAGTGCATCGACTCCCGCCTTTTTTCCGACAGGCGAGAGCCCTCCAGGTCATATCACGCAGGAGTTGAACAAAATAAAATCAAAAGACAACTTCGGGAAGACTCAAAAAAAAAAAAAAAACAATATAGGAAAAATAACTAATTTATTTCATGTCGAGGAGAGAAAGAGAGGGAGATAGATAGATAGATAGATAGATAGATAAATAGATAGATAAATAGATAAAGATAGATAGATAGATAGATAGATAGATAGATAGATTGATTGATTGATTGATTGATAGATAGATAGATAGATAGATAGATAGAGAGAGAGAGAGAGAGAGAGAGAGAGAGAGAGAGAGAGAGAGAGAGAGAGAGAGAGA